GACAAATTAGATTCCATTCAACGGACGATGGGATTGAAGTTGTCTTGCGCAACAGCCTGGCCTGTTTCAGCGAAATCATCAAAAGCAGTCATTCACGATAGGCGCCGACGTTTCTAATCAAGATTAATGAATACTCTGAGAAAGTGGATGATGTGACCACACTTTGAAGGCGTGCTATAGCGACAAAGGTGGCTCCATAACGCCTTTGCATGTTGGGAAATCAGAAGCGTTATCTGCCTGCAGCAACTGGTCCAGCATATGTACTCCCATTCAACGCCACTCCTAGCGGGACACTCAACCCTGGCCGTGCAAAGATGTTTAACTGGAAACACAAGGACGAGCCTTAACTGCAGCATTTTTCGTGAGCCTTGTCGAGGTCTAAGAATTCTTACTAAAGCTAAGACTCCTGCGTGGTCAACGGATTGAAAAAATTTTGATAAAAAGGTATGATAAAGAAAGGGGCCAACTTTTTAAATCGCAAAAAAACTGCGGCAGCTAAGTGAGCGGCCCACGCTTTCATGACCCTAAAAGGTCTACGTAAATGTAGGCTTAATACAAACAACCTTGTTTAAAGTTACTAAGAACCATAGGCTGTCGTTGTGGAAAGACTAAATTCATCTGAGTAGAGTAGGAGGGGATTAATCCCTCTCACGTTATCATAAATGTTTAATAACTTGTTGGTAGTCGCACTTATTTCTCATTCATTTGGCCGGACATTTTTGTTTTCCTTAGCTGTATTCACGGAAATCGGCGCAGCCTGTATGATTACGACCAGGAATTAAACAGAAAAAGGCATCAGATGGCGCCCGAATCGCAAGGGTTCTAGAGGAGGAAAAACAAGGATGAACTGACTCGAGTAGCCTGCAGGCCGAAATTCTGTTGTTTCGGATTCATGTGAGCTAGGTAAGACGGTCAAAAGCATCTGTAAACGAAGATAGGCGCGAAAGCACACAGTTCAATGTAGACTAAATGATCGTAACAACATACTAATTGAAATTAAAAACTTATAGCAACCGTGCAGTCAAAGCGATCTTGTCGCCAAGGGATTAAGGACAACTAGTGGCCAAGACGGCTGCGACTAGGCACAAATTAGATGATCGGAAAAAAAACAGGCGCTAGCACGATCGTTCGAGGCCGGCTTTCAATAAATGACTTATGAAAAAGTTTACAAATCTGGATATGTTTTATGCACCACAGTTTGCAAAGTAAAAACTCGTTTCCCCGATTTCAGAAGTTGTAAGAATATCAGCCGACAGGCTGGATTTATAGACAACTTCCGAACTTAAAATGCGTTTTCTCATGGCTTCAAGAGATTGAATGTTAAACACAACACGTGGTGGCAAGATCGTAAAACTGACAGCGATGAGAACTTCAGTATCCTGGTCACGTGACCTCGGTAGGCACGTGCTGGAGTCGTTCCAACGCATTTTAATGTTTTCCAGAACTGTTCTGGAAGCGCAGCTTTGTTAAAGTTATCTAGTTTATGAATTCATATTCAAGTTCAAGAAAGTACAGTTAACCCATGTTATTTACTTTGTCGTATATTCCATGCTCCGCCATCCAAGGAACGGTTCTGTTTGCCCTCGCTTTAGATAAATTGCAAATTCACATGCAGTTTGACTTCTAGCAGAAGTCAAGCTTATTGTCAGGACGGTTTAAATATGCTTTAGCGGAATAATCTATTATACTTTTCAGTAAGCATTTCTATAGTTTCAAAAAGCTGTCTCAAATTCGGTTTCATACCATTGAAATTGCTGGTACAGGTAAGAAAATTAAAAACGGATAAAACCTTCTTTCGAAGACTTCATGCCTTATCGCCGATCTGATACATGGTCGATGAGCTGATCTTTGGTGTTATGCTCCCGGCAAACCCCTATTGGTCGTATATTAACGTCT